TAATAACATATAATATACATTTTTCTCTATTCTAGCACAGCAGGATAAGCCCCCAACCCTTTCATTCACAGTCAACCCCCACTAACCGTAATTTCCCCGACTCGAAATTAACAATAATAACACGAATTAAACCGATTTCACGCACGAATTAATCCGAACTGCAAATGCCCGGCGTCGTAAATCCCCCCCAAATAATACGACTTGACTGAGACAAAACCGCTGCTGAGCAAAGATGATATCAGTTTTAAAAGCTCGAGAAAGAACAGAAGAAAAAGAAAAAAAATCCAGTACGTTTTTTTTTTTCGATCGCCGACATGGATATGGTTCACCGAACAGCCAACGCGGTGCCACCAAACGTTTCTTGTTGAAAAATGAAAAAAAAATATATGATGGAAATACATAGAGAGCTAGAGGATAGACAGCTAGACAGATAGACTGATAGATAGGTAAAAAAGATAGACAGATCGTTATAGACAGATAGACAAACCAACAGAGAGAGAGAGAGAGAGAGAGAGAGAGAGAGAGAGAGAGAGAGAGAGAGAGAGAGAGAGAGAGAGAGAGAGAGAAGAGAGAGAGAGAGGAGAGAGAGAGAGAGAGAGAGGAGAGAGGGAGAGAGAGAGAGAGAGAGAGGAGAGAGAGAGAGGAGAGAGAGAGGAGAAGAAAGAAAAAGAGAAGAGATAGAAAGAGAGAGAGAGAGAATCATTTCCGAAACCACCGTGTAATGCAGAATGTGTATTTTTCGTCAGGTCTTGAAGAGGGAGGGAGAGGGGGACAAGAGAGAGAGGGAACTAATGGGTGAGGGAGAGGGGAAGTAATGGGTGAGGGAGGGTGGAGGCAATGGGTAAGGGCGAGGGGAGTTAATGACGAGGGAGAGGGTATGGGTAATGGGTGAGGGAGGGGGCTAATGGGTGAGGGAGAGGGAGGGGAGATGGGGAGGAAGTTAACACGGTGAGGGAGGCTCTGGAAGAGGGGAGTGAATGGAGTAAAGGGAAGGATAAGGAAAGGAACAAGGGGTAAGAAGAGGGCAGAAGGAGGGAGGGAAGGAAGTAAAGAACAACGTAGAAGAAGAGAATGGTAGAGAAAGAAGGGGGTGGGAAGATAAAGAGAAGGGAAAGAAAAGAAGAACAGGAAAAGAAGAAACAAAAGGAAGGAGAAAGGGAAAAAAAAAAGAAAGAAATGAAGAAAGAAAACAGAAGATTGAGAAAGACGAAAAGATGAGAGAAAAAAAAAGGAAAGAAGAAAGAACGGAAGAAAGGCGACAAGAGAAAAAACACAAAAAAGAGAAAGAATAGAAGGCGAAAAAAAAAACAAACCGAAAAAAAGAAAAGACCGAACAGAGACAATCAAACGAGACAAAGAAAAAAGAATAGGAAGGAAATTGAGAATTGTAGAGGGAAACCAAAATCCAAGCCACTGTAATCCTCAAACGTCTTATCCTCTGCTACGCAATCCAATCGTGACGTGTCATAGCAGACTAATCACGATAGTTATCTCGCGGTTTATTCAAACAAAGACGCCGCGACTGGCTTTTTGTTTGTTTGTTTGTTGGCTTCTCTAAGGACGCTAAACATGGTGCTAAGACGTGGCTGCAAAAACCTCTTGTTTGAGGTAACGGACCTACACTGATCATTTGGCCAAACAATTATTGTTTTCTTTTTCTCTCTCTCTTTCGTTCTGTTTTTCGTTTTTCTCTCTTTCTTTCCATGTTCTTTCTTTCTATTTCTTTTTTTCTTCTAATACTTCTACTCCATTATCATCTTCTCCAACTCCTTCTTCTTCTTTTCTTCCTTTCCCTTCTTCCACCCCCTTCTTCTTCCCCTTCCTCCACCTTCCTCCTCCCTCTTCCACATTCCACCTCCCTCCTCTCCTTCTTCCACCTTCTCCCTCCCCCTTCCTTCCCTTCCTCCTTCCTCCTTCCTCCTCCCCACACGCAACAAGTTCCAGCACCCAGACGCGGCGTGTTACGGCGTGAGTCATGACCTACTGAAGAGAAACAAGTGACGGTCGATATCCGTGCGCGACAAGAGGGCGCTTGTTCAAATTTCTCTCTCTCTCTCTCTCTCTCTCTCTCTCTCTCTCTCTTCTCTCTCTCTCTCTCTCTCTCTCTCTCTCTCTCTCTCTCTCTCTCTCTCCTCTCTCGTCTGCGGTGGAGTGTTGAGACGTTTCGACGTTATCCGCACCTTGGACCTCTGTGCGAATTGCCTTGAGTCGTAGGATCGGCGGGGATAGGTCACGTGACGGGAAGCCTAAATCTGTCTGTTTGTTTGCTTGTCTGTTTGTCCGTCTGTCTCTCTATCTGTTTGTTTCTTTTCTCTCTCTTCTCTCTCTCTCTCTCTCTCTCTCTCTCTCTCTCTCTCTCTCTCTCTCTCTCTCTCTCTCTCTCTCTCTCTCTCTCTCTCTCTCTCTCTCTCTCTCTCTCTCTCCGTTTCGTTCTGTTCTCCATTTGTCCGTTTCTCATTTTTCTGCTTCATATTTTACTCTTTTATCTCCTCTCTCTCTCACTCCGTTTNTCCTCCCTCCCTCCTCCCTCCTCCCTTCCCCATCCCTTTCCCTCCCTCCCTCCTCCTCCCTTGCCCCTCTATTTCTCTCTTCTTCTTCTCCTATTACTCTCTCTCTCCCTCCCTCTTTCCTCTCCCTCACTCTCTTCCTTCCCTCCCTCTCTCCCTCCCTCCCTCCCTCCCTCCCTCCCTCCTCCCTTCCTTTCTCTTTCCCTCTTTCCCTCTTTCTCTCTTTCCTTCTTTCCCTCTCTCTCCCTTCTCCATTCTCTCTCCCCTTCTCTCCACCTCTTTTCTTCCTTTCCTCTCTCTCTCTCCTTTCCTATCTCCATCTCTCTCCTTTCCTCTCCTCTCCTCTTTCTCTCCCTCTCTCCCTCCTATTCCTCTCCTCTCTCTCTTCCTTCCTCTCTCTCCCCTTTCCTCTCCTTCTCTCCCATCCTATTCCTCTCCTCTCTCTCTTTCCTCTCCTCTCTTCTTCCTTTCCTCTCCTCTCTCTCCTTCCTTCCTTCTCTCTTTCTTCCTTCTCTTCTCCTTTCTCTCCTCTCTTCCTTCTCTCCCCTCTCTCTCCTTCCTCCTCCTCTTCCTTCCTTCCTCTCTCCCTTTCCTCTCCTCTCTCTCCTTTCCTTCTCCTCTCTTCCTTTCCTCTCCTTCTCTCTCCTTCCTCCTCTTCTCTTCTCTCCTCTTCTCTCTCTCCTCTCTCTCCTCTTCTCTCTTCTCCTCTTCTCTCTCCTTTCCTCTCCTTCTCTCCTTTCCTCTCCTCTTTCTCTCCTTTTCCTCTCCTCTCTCTCCTTTCCTCTCCTCTCTCTCCTTTCCTCTCTCTCTCTCCTTTCCTTCCTCTTCCTCTCTCCTCTCTCTCCTCTCTCCTCCTTCTCTTTCTCTCCTTCCTCCTCTCTCTCTCTCTTTCCTCTCCTCTCTCTCCTTTCCTCTCTCTCTCTCTCCTTTTCCTTCCTCTCTCTCCTCTTTCCTCTCCTCTCTCTCTCCTCCTCCTTCTCTCCTCTCTCTCCTTTTTCCTTCTCCTCTTCCTCCTCTTCTCTCCCTTCCTCTCTCTCTCCTCTCTCTCCTCTTTCTTTCCTCTCTCCTTCTCTTCCTTTCTCTCCTCTCTCTCCTCTCCTCTTCCTTCTCTCCTTTTCTCTCTCCCTCTCTTCTCCTTTCCTCTCCTTCTCCTCTCCTTTCCTCTCCTCTCTCTCCTCTCTCCTCTCCTTCTCTCTCCTTTCCTCTCCCTCTCTTCTCCTCTCTTCCTCTCCTCTCCTCTCCTCTTCTCTCTCTCTTCTCTCCTCTCCTCTTCTCTCCTTCTCTCTCCTCCTTCTCTTCTCCTTTCCTCTCCTCTCTCTCCTTTCCTCTCCTCTCTCTCCTTTCCTCTCCTCTCTCTCCTTTCCTCTCCTCTTCTTTCCTCTCTCTCTCTCCTTTCCTTCTCTCTCTCTCCTTTCCTCTCCTCTCTCTCCTTTCCTTCCTCCTCTCTCTTCCTCTTCTCCTTTCTCTCTCTCTCCTTTCCTTCTCCTCCTTCTCCCTCCTTTCTCTCTCTCTCCTTCTCTCTCCTCTCTCTCCTTTCTCTCCTCCTTCTCTCTCCTCTTTCCCTCTCTCTCTCTCTCCTCTTCCTTCCGCCTCTCTCTCCTCTCCCTCTCCTCTTCTCTCCTTTCCTCTCCCTCTCTTCTCCTATTCTCCTCTCCTCTCTCTTCCTTTCCTCTTCCTCTCCTCTCCTCCTCTCTCTCTCTCCTCTCCTCTCCTCTCTTTCCTCTCCTCTCCCCTCTCTCCTTTCCCTCCCCTCTCTCTCCTTTCCTCTCCCTCTCTCCCTTTCTCTCTTCCTCTCTTCCTTTTCCTCTCCTCTCTCCTCTCTCCTTCTCTCTCTCTCTCTCTCTTCTTCTCTCCTCTCTCTCCTCTCTCTCTCCCTCTCTCTCCCTCTCTCTCTCCCTCCCTTCTCTCTCTCCCTCTCTCTCCCTCTCCTCTCCCTCTCTCTCTTCTTCCCTCCCTCTCTCTCTCTCTCTCCCTCTCTCTCCCTCCCTCTCTCTCTCTCCCTCTCTCTCTCTCCCTCTCTCTCCTCTCTCTCTTCTCTCTCTCTCTTTCTCTCTCTCTCTCTCTCTCTCTCTCTCTCTCTCTCTCTCTCTCTCCTCTCTCTCTCTCTCTCTCTCTCTCTCTCTCTGTCTCTCTCTCTCTCTTCTGTCTCTCTCTTCTCTCTCTCTCTCTCTCTCTCTGTCTCTCTCTCTCTCTCTCTCTCTCTCTCTCTCTCTTCTCTCTCTCTGTCTCTCTCTCTGTCTTCTCTCTCTCCTCTCTCTCTCTCTCTCTCTCTCTCTCTCTCTCTCTCTCTCTCTCTCTCTCTCTCTCTCTCTCTCTCTCTCTCTCTCTCTCTCTCTCTCTCTCTCTCTCTCTCCTCTCTCTCTCTCTCTCTCCTCTCTCACACCACACACACACACATCTCTCTTCCTTCCATCCTCAGCTTTCCCACCAATCCCCAGCATCTTTTATCAACTTTGATTCACACTCTGATTTCTTTTCTTTTTTAACAGATACCTTGTCTACTACATGTACACAAGGGCCCAGGGACGCAAGCCGTGGATAGATTGCATAACAATGATGAATGGAAAACAAATGTATGGTGAGTATTTCTTGCAAGGTTGTTGTCATTAAGTTGATTTTACTGCTGTCAAGTTTTTTTTATATTGATGTGTGTCCTGCAATCAATATATATAAGTGTATTATATACTGTATATGTACATGTTTTTGTCTACATATTTGTCTGTGTGATAACTTGATTGGTTTACTTCTTTTTTTTTTGTGTGTGTGTGTGTTTGTTTATAATTATTTTTGTTAGAATTCTTGTATGATTTACTCCCATGATGACTGTAGATGTTCCCTAGTATACTTTAAAAGATTGATATTGTCTGTTACATATACACCATTATATTTATTTTCTGTCAAATTACTCTCATATATTTCCATTGTGATATATATTTATATTTGTGTGCGTGTGTGTGTGTGTGTGTGTGTGTGTGTGTGTGTGTGTGTGTGTGTGTGTGTGTGTGTGTGAAATAGATCTCAAAGGCGACCATTACAGATTAGCAATCACGCAATAATATGCAACTCAATTGCAATCATTCACCGGATCAGAATACATGTCAGAAATGTCCAAAACATTTCTCAATCAATGTTCTGTCAATAAGTGGAGTTGTAACCCAATTGCAGCCAACCAACCTTCAAATATTGTTATGATTTCACTCTTTGTCATCATTTCATTTCTTCTGCTTTTGATAAACGAAGCTTCAGCCATGGTCTCAGTAACGGGGCAAGCAACATGCAATCATTGCAAATTAACATGCAAATCTAATTAGCATCCAACTCATGTAACACAATTTACCATCCAAACCATTCAGGTGTATTATACAATACATCTAATACTCATTAGCAACCAAACATCCAATACTAATTAGCAACAAACACTTACTATCATCAAATACATCTAATGCGTTAATTAATGCTTCCAACACATCTAATGCTAATTAGCATATAAATATCAAACTAATTAGGATCCAACACTTATTAGCAGCCAACATATTTAATGGTAATCAGCATCTAACACATCTAATGTTAATTAGTATCCAACACATCTAACACTGATTAGCAGCCAACATATCTAATGCTAATTAGCGTCCAACATATCTAATGCTAATTAACATCCAACACTCATTAGCAACCAATATATCAAACACTAATTAGCATCCAACACATCCAGTGCTAATTAGCATCCAACATATTTGCCATCCGCATTTCATATATTATTCTCTCCAGCAACCCTCACCCTTCCTTAATAGGGTGAAGGTGCATTTTTTGTGAAATGTGTGTTTCTTCGTCTTCTTTTTTCTTTCTTTCTTTCTTTCTTTTTTCCCCCTTAAGAGTGATGAAAAAAAATACACACATTTTCGCAAAAAAAAAAAATCATTAAAAACACCCAGATTACCAGCCACACAATAACCTTTCTCTCTACCTTCGACAGGTGTCCCACTGGGAGGCATAGGCTCAGGAACCATTGGCCGCGGGTTTAGGGGGGAGTTCTGCCGCTACCAGATGGTGCCTGGAATTTATGAATATCACACCGTCATGGCCAATCAGTTCATCGTGACAATCAGAGACCCCAAAGGCAATACGCTTTATCAAAAGGTCTTGTCTATACACAGGTATGTGATGGATGTGTATATGAGTTTGTTAACCCAATGTCAACGGGAATATGGTGCGTTCCCAAAGGGAACACACCATATTCCTGTATATGTATGTGTGTATATATATATGTATATGTATATATATATATATATATATATATATATATATATATATATATATATATATATATATATATATATATATATAATATATGTGTATGTATATATGTATGTGTGTTTCTGCACATAAATGGCTCTGCCAATGCTTTTTTTTTTTTCTTACTAATGCTTTAGTGAACCTGTATTGTATGTGGGATATAAGGAGGTGATTGTGTTATGTATTGTAAAGCTATGATATTTCATCTTTGTTATATTTCTGATTATTATCACTGTTTTCAAGGAGTTTGTGAACAAATTCATCAGTGGGCAAAAATTTGTAGGGAAATTGAGTTACCTTATTGGATGATTTGATAAATTGTTTTTCCTTAAAGCTGATGGACAACTCCTTTTCCTTTATTTTCCATCTCCTTTGGATGGACTTATTTTGATAGATCCAATGAAATCGTTAAAAAAAAGTGTGTAGTAATAAAGAAATACCAAAAAACTTATTTTTTTCATCTTTTATTGGCCTTGACCGTGAGGATGCAGGCGCGTAATTGATGCCTTGAAGCTCCTTTTTTTTCTGACTCATTTGATAACCATCAGTCCAGGTCCTGACACCTGGACTGATGGTTATCAAGAAGGGAAGAACAAGTGTACTTTAGCTTTTCTTATCTTTCTCAACACTATAAAGGCTGATTTGTCCGTGTATGTACTGTACAAGCATATGTGTGCATCATGAACACAACTTGTCAAATTTAGCTTCTTTGTCTTTTTGCAACCAGGGTTTATTGGGCGCTAGACAAATATTGTGATGTTTCTGAGGCCAGGTAATAAAACGACTTCATCCTCCTTAACTGGCATGAACGTTGTAAGCCTGTGTCACATCATGTACTGGGAAATGTGAAAGCCTTTGCAATGAGAACCTTTTCTTCCCACAGTAAATCCAAGAAAGGTTTGGGGTCGTGGGACTGGGGCTTCAGTGGAGCCGATGCCCTTTACTGTGGTCTTTATCCAAGATCATGGACGGTCTACAACATCAAAGAACAAAGCATAAGACTAATATGCCGTCAAATTTCACCTGTTATACCGCACAATTATAAAGTGAGTACTAGGTGACATACCAAGACAATTTTTGTAGACTATTATACTGAGGACTATTATAGTAGGAAATAGATTTTTATTTATCCTTTTACTTGTTTTGCAGGATTCATGTTTACCTGTGGGTGTGTTTGTATGGAATATTGAAAACCACAATTCAGAACCCCGCGATGTTTCCATTTCACTCACGTTCAAGAATGGCACAGGCAGCAGTGAGGATAAAAATGGCAAGTCGTTTTACAGATTTTTAGTTCTTTCCTTTTTTTTCTACTTTAAAGGAAAATTGTGATGGTTTTAGAGCTATTTGTACATACATACATCTGATTTTTTAAAAATATTCCATTAGATCATCACAAAAAGAAAAAAAACTGCAATGTTACTCATTTCTGTTATAGAATGAAATACCCTAAATTAAAGCCCATTCAATATATAGTATGTTTTAATTGCCATTGTAAAAAGAAATCTTGGTATAATGGTCTATTTCATTTTGAAATTAGAAAAATTCCTTATTAATGAAATTATTTCAGGAGAATGTTGGAGCGAAGTTTGGGAGAGAAATTTGGAAGAAGGAAAAGCGAAAGGCGTCGTGTTGCATCAGACCATCAAAAGTCTCAACCTGCGATACTGTTTGGCCGTCAGAGAAAAGGTTGGTGGAGTGGGGTGCAATGGGGTGATTTGTGCGTCTAAGTAGTTCTCTTCATTTCCCTATATTTTTTTCTTTTGCGTTCAATTTTATTACTGCTTACACTGTATTACATTATCCATAAGCATTTTTCTAATATCTGCTTTCCGTTTCAACCCTTCCCCACTGCCTTCCCCCCCATGCAGTCTGGGGTCTCACAGCCCACTCCCACTGCCCCGGTTTCGATCCCACGGGGCCTGGTGACTCGGTGTGGAACGACCTCAAAATGGACGGAGAATTGGAGAGTAAAGAAGCACCATTGATAAAGACAAGTAGGTCATCCAAGCATTTTTAAAATAATTTTTATTGTTTTTATTATTGATGAGGTTGTAATGCTATATTAGTTAGTGTGTATTTCTATTTTCATGATTTTTTTATTGATTTTTATTTTTTGTTTTTTTTTATGTTTAGTGTAAAGTTTAGTACTTTCCTAATTCTGTTAAAGAACATCTTACTCCGCTGCTTGAATATGGGTTTACAATTTTAGATATATTCTTGTAGTTGATATTGTTAATATTAAAAGTTTAAATATGAAAGTAGTATTTGTAATAGAGATTATAAACATTGACAAATATTGTAATGATAATCATAAGAGTAATGATTAATAACATTAATCTGAATGTTGATAATGATGATAACTGTGGCTAGCATTGACTTTTGCTATTAATCCTAGGTACATTAACCAAAAATAGAGAAGTGATACTCTTAGTATCTCAGACTAACCCCTTAAGATCAGCAGTCCATAAAACCAATGTGTTCCCCCTTCCTCCCAATCCCCAGCCCCTACAGAGCACCAGAAAATCTTTGCATTAAATCCCCTCTTAATCGAAACCATTATCGCCACTAGGAAAAGGTGAAGAGAGAGCAGTGGCAGTGTGTGGAAAGTGTAGCATTGGGGCCAACAAGTCAGGCATGGTGGAGATCGCCCTGGCTTGGGACATGCCGCAAATTGTGTTCAAAAGCCGGGGGATTACTCACACCAGGTGGGAGGAGCTCAGACAGCGACCGTTGCATGTGGTGTAACGGGAGTGTGTGTGGCCGATGTTTGGCCTGTTTACCCACGGATGACTGTGTCTTGATACCGTGTGGATGACTTTTTCCCTACCTTTCTTTTTCCCCTCAGTTCTTGCTTCTTAATGCGGATTTTTGAAGAGGGTTGATCTGATTATTCTCTCTATTTTTCATGTTATTTTCCATCTCTTTTTATAACCATATTGTCAATTTCAATAACTTCTCAATGATGCTAATATTTGTCTCCTTAAAATAATAGTAAAAACCATTATACCCCCCAAACTGAAATAAAGTGCACACACTTTAAATTTGATCACATAGCTGTCATGTCCCATAAAACAATAAAAAACAAAAATTAAATGAATCATATCAAGTCCATAATTAGATTCCCCAGTGATAAAAGAGTCCTTGCCTCCAGACGATACACACGGTGGTTTGGGGATGAGCAAACAGCAGCACAGGAGATCGCATCTTATGCTCTGGACAGCTACAAACGCTGGGAAGTCGAGATAGAGAATTGGCAGAATCCTATCCTTCAGGACAAGTAAGGCACTTTGTGTGTACACATGCACACACATAGATACACACACTTAGATACTTACAGACAGATACATGCATATAGATACACACACTTAAACAAAGCCATATATGCACACACAGATACATATACCTAGGTACTTATATAGATACTCACATCAGTACTCACACACAAAAATAGACATTCACACACATGTGCACAAACACACACACCAGCCTACTGGCGTTGTTTTACTATATATTATAATGATTAATGATTTTAGGAAGCTGTTGTTCTTTCATCATCATCATCATCATCATTATTTAGTTATTGTTGTTTCTACTATCTACTACAACAATTCCACTACTATTATAACATTATTATTATCAGTATACCACTTTCAGTGTTATTACCATTATTTCCTACAATTCCACTTTAATAATATCCTTCTTTTACAACCACTTTCAGGGACTTACCTGACTGGTTTAAAAGTGCCATCTTCAACGAGCTCTACTTCATATCGGATGGAGGCTCAGTCTGGCTCGAGATGACACCCTCACTCAACACAACCTTGCCTGCCTACGACACTCGGTAAGTCTGGGGGGGTTTAAAGGGTATTGTTGGTTTTTGTTTTATCCTAGTCTGTGTTGGGGTTTGAGAGCCAGTGAAGCAGTTAAGTGTTGTAATATTGTAGGTTATGTTTAATGTACTGTTATGTAGGTTAGTTGATATTTGTTATATTATTAGATATACCATTGAATATGTGGATGGTATTATGTAACATTAGAGTTATAGTATAACTTTAGAAGTAGTAGAGGCATTCTAGATTAGTGCCTCAGTACCTCCAGGGTCCTTGGGTATCCAGAATGACATTTGGAAAGGATTGCAAATGAAAAATTATGCAGTACAAAGTACCTATGATGGCTGGCAGTATATGTATTAGGCAGTAGGGCGTTACCAGCTTGTCAGTTATTGAAAGTCACAAGTCAGGATTACTAGTCTGAGAGAGGACTTGACTTAGCTGCCCTGGGATTGAACTTTAGGAATTCAGAACTGAAAACCCCCAAGAACTACTGGAATATTATATTGCCAAATATATGGCCCCTTCATCCTCCATTCCCTCCTTACCCACCCCCAGACCTGAGTATGGCCGCTTCGCATACCTAGAAAGCCACGAGTACCGCATGTACAACACTTATGATGTGCACTTCTACGCGTCATGGGCCCTTGTCATGTTATGGCCTGAGCTGCAGAAGTCCCTCCAGTATGACATGGCCCAGTGGACTACCTCGGCTGACCTCACACCCCGGACGCATCTCTTCAGGGGGAACAAGGGGGTGCGCAAGCTGGCCAACGCTGTGCCACATGATATTGGTGATCCAGGTGAGTTGATAAGGGGCAAATTGGGCCCTATGTGGTTTTTCTTTCTATCTTTTTTATATCACATTTCTTTTTCCGTATTTTTACACCTTTCATTGTCTTTTTTTCTTCTTCTTCATCATCTTTTTCTGTTTCCTCTTTTCCTTTTAGCTCTATTATTCTTGATTTTTTTTTATCTCTCTATCTCCTCATCTTACTTTACTTCTTTATCTTCAAGACTACTACTTCTTTTTCTTCTGCTTCTATTTCATCTTTCTCTTCTTGATCTTCTTCCCTTTTTCTTTCTTCTCCCTCTCCTTGTTTTCATTAATTTTCTCCTCCTTCTCCCAGTCATGCTCCTTCCTCCTTTTTTTCTCCTTCTCCATCTTTGGCATCTCTTTCTCCTTTTCTTACACCATCTCCTTTTTTTTTCTTCCTATTCTTAATCCTACTCCTCTTCCTTTTCCAAGTCCTCCTATTCCACTTGTTCCTTCTCCTCCCTTTCTACCTCCTCCTCTTCTCCCTTTCCCTTCCCCATCTTTCTACTACTAGTACTACTGTTACTATTACTACTATTACTTTACTATTTACTACTATTACTGTACTTTTACTGTTACTAATTTTACTATTTTACTATTTATCTATTACATTACTGGCTACTAACTATTACTACTAACTATTACTATTACTACTATACTTATCTATTATTTACTTATACTACTATACTGTACTATTTACACATTACTATTACTACTTATAACTACTTACTACTAAATACTCTAACCTATTACTTATTACTACTACTAACTACTAACTACTAACTACTAACTACTAAATAACTAAACTACTAAACTACTACTTACTACTTAACTTCTACTACTACTATTCTATTACTACTACTACTCACTACTTACTACTACTACTGCCTCTCTTCTGCTACCCTTCCTTCCTGCCTCCTCTTCCTCCTGCTTCCTTCCTCCCCTCCCCTCCCCTCCTTCTTCTTATCCTTTTCCGTCCTCTTCCATCGATACTATTTTTATCATTACTGGCATTACTGCTCACACCTCAATGTTTTTCTAAATCTCTCATTCAATCTTCCAGAGGATGAACCCTTTGTGCGGGTGAATGCCTACCAGATCCATGACATTAGTTACTGGAAAGACCTGAACCTCAAGTTTGTTTTACAGGTAAGAAATTTTGTGCTGAAGATGGAATTTTAACATATTCCCTGTCCTTTAGAACAGTGTAGATTTGTAGTTGAAGTATAGATCATGTATATTTTAGTGTGGAACTGGTGTCTTTTGGTTCCATATTGTAGTTATAGTGCTCTTATGTAAGGATGCTTTTGTTGTTTTGTAATGAAATTGCTTATAGTGCCTTAAATTACTTATAATGGTAGGTCTAGTCATTAATGTCATAAATGGCATATGATGTTATCATAAACTCCTTACAATGATATCATATTTCACTTATTATGATGGCTGTAAGACCAGAAACTGGCCTAATAATTGACTCACCTTCCCGTCTCTTAGGTGTACAGAGACCACACTTTCTTCCGTGACCTTGATCACCTCACACACATGTGGCCAGTGTGTCGGGCTGTGATGGACAGATGCTTTTCATATGACCGTGATGGTGATGGCCTGATTGAGAATGAAGGCCAGGCAGACCAGACTTATGACTCATGGGTGATGCACGGCCCCTCTGCCTACTGCTGCTCGCTTTGGGTGGCCGCCCTGGCTGTCATGGTGGAGATGGCCTCAGAACTCAAAGATGAGGCTGAGGAAAAGAAGTTTGCCGAAGCCCTGGCCAAGGCGAGGGTGGCCCTGCAGGAGAAACTCTGGAATGGTAAGGGGGTCTGGGAAAAGAATTATAACGACCCACTGTGTGAATATGGTTTTTATTAGATTCAAGATTATGATTGAATTTTATTTTCAGTAGAGACTATTATTTTTTATCATTATCGATAAAGTTTATTGATTTTTGATGTAGCTTTTTGATTTTGGTGATTGGGAGAGATCTCGCTCTGATTGAGGAGGAGAAGTTGATAGTTACCATTTGGATTTTTCATGTATATGCCATTCTACATGATTAGCAATGGCCTACAGTAGAATGATATGAAAATGAGTTGCATGTAATATTGTCCAGAGGTGGTTAGTACTGCCAGTAGAACTACTCACAGTAAAATTGACTTGTGCTGATAATTTTCATATAAAAAAATCTACTGCAATAAACAGTAGATATAGTGGGAAACCACTAAAGAATATAGATATATAATGGCAACACTAGTACTGGTAGTACTAGTCCAAAAAAATATTGGATGTATATATAGCAGAATGAAAAGAATACCATTTTGTTTCTACTAATGATGATGATTTTTTTTTACAAGACTTGAGACTTTAACTAGTTTTGAGCTGTTTTCTATTGATGACAGTGACAATTAGTATCCTATTATATTTATATTATATATATATGAGTATTTATCTGCATTTGTGTGTTTGTATATGAATATGAATGTATATGATTCACACCGGGAAAAAAGCTCCGTGATGCAAACAATCATTCGCCTCATTTTATTTTCAATGAGTGTCTTCATACTGGTTACAAGCTATCACCATACTATGCGCGTTGCACGATGGTTGATCATCTAGTTCCCCATACGGCAATCTTTTAACCTTGCTCCCTTAACGGTGCATTCTTGAGTATTTAGGGAATCCCTCCAGGCCCCTACCCCACCCCATTGAGTTGACAGTTCGTCACGGGTCATGATGAGTCGCCTCATATATGCAAGCGCTCTATATATTGCAGGAGAAAATCTGAAATATAGTTTAAGGTTTTCTTTGACATCTTCCAGCTCATCTATTATATGATGATATTCAACAAACTTCGTCCTTACCAAATTTATGTCTTCCCATTTAGTTATACTTACATTGTTCTTGTTATCTTCCTTCCTCACGAAGCCACAGAGTACTATCTCCAATGGCTGCAGCCACTGTGTGAAGTGACACTTGTTTGAAAACAGAGCTCGGTGGGAGCACTTCCAGTGTGAATTAATCGTGTAGCATCCGTCTGTTGCCGCATCTTGTGTGTAGCATAGCTATACTAACGGTGTGAATCCACTTTGAAAATCTTAATTTCTTCTTCTTTGGAGAAACAATATTATGTGGCTACGAAAATCTTTTTCAAGAATGCCGAATTCTGACACCTTTTCTTTACAGGAAAGTATTACAAGTTTGATTGTTGTGATGCTCCCCACAGCCACAGCATCATGGCAGATCAGCTGGTTGGTCACTGGTATCTCTCGTCTCCCGGATGCTGCCGTTGAGGTAGAAAAGCTCTGCTTGTCAAAGTGGAATCCTATCCTGATGTTATTACTATTATGTAATTGTTATTAATAATTATATTATTATTATTATTATTATTATTATTATTATTATTATTATTATTATTATCATCATTATGATCATCATTCTGGATGTTACTATTATTTTTGTTGTTATTGTTATTAATGTTACTATTTGTATTTTTAGTGTTGCTATTATTATTGTTATTATTATCATTATTATAATTATCATTATTATTAGTAGT